AGGGGAATGCTTTTTAACGCTAAAAATATCCCCTTTAAGATTCTAAAGAAAATGATTTTTTAACAAAAAGGGGGTTGGTGTTAACCATAATTCATAAAGTAACTATGCAGACTAATGGAAATATTGTTTTCTGTGCTGTTGTTTATCTTAAACACAAATATGATATGGAATGCGTGGCTGTTCACAGCATGGCTTGCAAAATACCCTCCCAGCATATAATGTCACACCAGATTATGTTTCATGCACAGGTGGCCTAACTGAAATATTCTGCCATCCTTATAGCATACACTCTAAAAAATGCTTGGTTAAATATAACCCAGCGCTGGGTTAAAAAGGGACAAACCCAGCTATTGGGTTGTAAAATTAAAACGTAAAATATACAAATAAAAGCTCATTCAAAATATTAATAAATACTATAATAGCATATAAATAATATTCAAATTACACAGCTTACTTGTGAAGTTCTCTCGGTTCTTCCCATTGTTGACTCTTAAGAAGTCTCTTCCTCTGTCTTTTAGACAGTGTCTCATTTTCATTGTTTGCACATTCATGGCTGCTCTCCTGCACAGCAGGTGTATCGGCCATATTGGTGGCCATTTAGTGTGAAGATCCTGGATCAGCAGCAACGAAACAAATGTTGAGAATCTTTTTTTTTTTTTTTTATTCATAATATTTGGATATCTCTATTCGATTGCATAAAAATGACTGACAAGAATGTTGTTGAAATTCATAATTTATTTGGGCTTGAAAAATGACAAATTTGTTTTGTTACCATTTGAGGGGAAGATGCTTAAATGATTTTTCAGGAGCCTTATAATAGCAGGTAGGCAGATTTCAATAAAGGATAATAAGATGTTACTGAAGAACTTCTTAAGTGAATGGTTCAATTACCTATTGACCAGAGTGTGGCCAGTGAGTGAATCTTTAAAGTGAACCGATTCAAACGTTTCGAGTCACTGATGTGAATCGACATTCCAACGACTACTCAAACAAACAAGTTAAACGCTAACGTTACACACCGACACACACACACACACTGCAGTGTCACTTTTCCCTGCAGTATCATGAATTCTTGACAGTCATTTTATTGTATCAAGGTACTACTTTCATGTTAACGTAACATTGTTACATATCAATAAGTTGACAAACATCAGCTGTTTTCAGAGTATGTCTATTAAAATAAGGCAAAGCATCAGGGGACCGAGCATGCCGACATACGTTGTAAAATGTCTGATATAACAGTGATACCTGTGAATAGCAGAATTACTAATATGAAATAGTAAACTGCTGTCTTTGCACTGCAGTGGTGCTTTCATCTCATGTGCACTCACATGCTGCGTCATTTAAAAGCGACTCGTTCAGCGTGGGAACGTCCACAGTTCGCCATGTTGATGAGGGCAAGTAAGGACGTTTAGGCTGACATGATGTGAATAATCATATATCGTATATTCTATATAAATATACACTTACTTCAAGTTCACACTGACCAGTGATTTTATTGTATATAAAAATATTATCTAACAAGACACGTATAGACTAGCCTATGTTTATTTTATTCCAAAGAGAAATAAAACATCCAGATTTAAATATATATTTAAGCGAGAGGTATTGCATAGAGTTAAGATATATATATATATATATATATATATATATTAATTAAATAAAAAAATGACGTTTAAATTGTCAAAATTAAATATAAATTAAATTATCATGTTTTAAAAATGCAAATTCTGAAGTTTTTGAACGACATATGTGCAGACAAATTGCATGATAATTTTTGTGTCTTTTTTTCTGCCATTAAAAGCACTGTTACCATGTGACTATGTGTACACTCTAAAAAATGCTGGGTTAAAAAGGGACAAACCCAGCTATTGGGTTGTTTTGACCCAGCGGTTGGGTTCAAAACAACCCAACCGCTGGGTTAAAACAACCCAATAGCTGGATCAAAACAACCCAATAGCTGGGTTTGTCCCTTTTTAACCCAGCATTTTTTAGAGTGTACACATAGTCACATGGTAACAGTGCTTTTAATGGCAGAAAAAAAGACACAAAAATTATCATGCAATTTGTCTGCACATATGTCGTTCAAAAACTTCAGAATTTGCATTTTTAAAACATGATAATTTAATTTATATTTAATTTTGACAATTTAAACGTCATTTTTTTATTTAATTATTAAATAAAGTGTCATTTAATTTAATAAGGAGTCAACACGAATAACATGTCTTTGCCATTAGTTTGTTTTACCTGCTACTGCTGTGGTCTACAAGAACATAAAAATGCATTAATAGAAAATAATATAAAAATTTAGTGAATTAAAATTCAGAACACTGCTGTTAGAGCATGTCTCCTGAGTAAAGTTACCACTAATATTTAAGTTTACATTCCCATTGCGTTCTAGGAATGTGTAACAGACATTTAACTAGACTATCACCTTTCACATTAGCACTTTGCAACACATATTAGCATATGGATTTGTTGCCATATATTAATTCTCCTGATCATAGACACTTTATATAGACTTTCAAATATATTGCTGTCAGGGAGCTTAAATAGAGCTCTTAATATGCTTCTGAGCTCCACTATGGATGGTAAAAATACTTTGTACAGCTGACAGATACAGTGTTGGCAAACAGTTTTAGGAGTGGTTTGCCAGAGCCATTCTTTTAATGCCATTATGCTTAGTAACTACAACTGATATGGGCTAGTAAACGACACCCACCTGCAGCACTCAGTGGAAAATTAGCAAATTATATTTTTAAAATTGTGTGTCGATAGGTGCTTATGTTGCTTATTGGACAATTAGCATTCTCAAAAATAAAAAAAGAAATACATAAATATAAAAAGTAAAAGGAAGAAACAACAACAACAAAATCATGATATCAAGAAATTTTTTTTATTTTTCCTGTAATGTCAAATCAGATAACATTTCTCCCTTTTTGCATTCCTTTGTTTTGAATCTCTGTCTTTATTCTTTCTAAAACGCTGTAATGCGTATTCTCATCCAATATGTCGCCATCCATCTTCACACATACTTCTAACCATCGAAACATAACTTTGTCATCATTGAAACATTATTTATCAGGTGTAGCTTTTAAAACAGTGATTGCTTATGATTAAGCAATATGGCCATTACAGGAACATTCAACTTTCAAATGTTGTCTTATGACATTAAGTGACTCCTGATTACATCACTAGGAGCTCTTTTAACATCTTTTGCACAGACCAAACAAAACCAACATAGAGCACATACCAAACAAATACATTTTCACATATTTATGCTGTTGTGATTCACAGATTTTTTATTTTTTTTTTAATACCTTTGAGTAAACTTAGCCTTTTCAGTGAATTTAAATGGTACTCTTATTAATCTGAAGACAACACCACACCAAACTTTCTTAATGACAGCTTAACGGACTGGCCAGCAGCTCCAACAGCTGAAATAATGAATGAATTCACAAGTATACTATAACATGAGTTATTAAAAACAAGCTATGTGCATCAAAAAAGATAAAACAGAGGATCCAAATGTATTGCCTCTGTTATGAAAAGGTTCTGAATAATGTTCAAAACAGATTTGGAGAAATTTAGCATTACATCACTTCTCACCAGTGAATGGGTGCCGTCAGAATTAAAGTTCTAAAAACATAAAAACGTCACAATAATCCACAAGTTCTGACGGCACCCATTCACAACAGAGGATCTACTGTTGTGCATGTGCTGCAATGCTACATTTCTCCTAATCTGTTCCAAAGAAGGAAAAAAAACTCATCTACATCTTGGATAGCCTGAGTACATTTTTAGCAAATTTTCATTTTTGGGTGAACTGTTACTGTAATGAAAATTGAATATATCTTAGAGATATCACAAGGATAATAGATTTCAGATTACACTTTGACTGAAAGAAAAATCACACCTTGAAAATAAACAAATAAAATAAACAAGTAGTTCAAATAGTTTACAATACCCTTCAGCATGTACAGATTACTCTTTTGAAACTGAAGTATAGTTGATTTTTTCTTTAAAAAATACCCTGGTGATTTGATATGACACCAAACAGGTTGTCTAAAGCAACATTTTGTACACCGTGTTTTGTATAACAGTTTCTGTATTCAAAATACAATAAAGTTCTGCTAATATCTTTCATTTCTGCACCTGAAATCAATTCACCTGACCTTGATTCTGTATCACTGAAGCCAAAAGAGATGAAACTGTAATACCAAATCAAAATGAAATGGTAAACACATTCTCTCACACACTCACACTATACCGGTACTGCGAGATAATAGAGGAACACAGTCCCCTAAAACATCCCATTCACCACATCATCCACACATTTTTGTGCGTTTTAATGAGGTGGTTTATTCAATACCAGCAGAAAAAACAGCAGTAAAAAAAATAAAATAAAATATATATATATACAATATAAAATTGTAATGCAATCCATTCATTTCACATAACACCTCTCAAGGAAGAGTGCTGAGATTCAAGGTCAGGAGAAGAGCTTCAGTCAAGGAATGATGGATAGCAGGAGAAATGTTGTGTTTTATATAGAGAACCTGTTATCAGCCTTAACAACAGTATCAATTTAAGTGCATATTTATAATGGAGCCAGTTTTTATTTATATATCCTGATATTGGATATATATCAGCCAATATTATCAGCTATATAATTGTGTACACACATTAGCAATTTTTACATTTAGAGTTCCTTTAACATCATCTAATGCTCTCTCAAAGTTAGTCTTGAAAAAACACACATAATTTAATAATACTGTTAAATGAAATATTTAAACTCAAAATGAATATGAATTTATATTGTATATTAAATTGGTGTGATGCCTAAATTCACTTAAAGCATTTAAAATTATCAATTTGTTAGTTGTTAGTCTTTTGTTTTCAATTTATTTAGATGAAATAGTATAATAAAGTAATATTGGCTATTCATCAGTTAACCTCCATAGCATGAAAATAATTATCATGAGAATGTTATTATCTGTGCATCCCTAGCGTTGTACTCTCATTTGACTGACATTATTCTGAAGGTGCTTAAAGTGGGTTTGTTTTTAACAGTAACCCATACAGTAAATGCACTTTCAATTACCCTTTGAAAAAAAATCCAATGCAGAAAAATCCATCCACTTTCACAAAGATTTGAGAAGCAGACGGAACAGTTTTATAACACAAAATGAAGCAAGTGGGATAATGAGCAGAAACAAGCGGCCCACAAATAATAATGTGAGAAGAATGTGCGATTTCTTGATGAAGATGATGAAGGAGATTCCAAAATATGATGAAAAGATGGCGTCATGTGGCTCCTGTATAAATCAAAACAAGAATGACATTAAAAACTAACTTTGCCATCAGCATTCTTCTGTGAGCAATGCGAACACAGTTATCAGTTAACAGGTTAGTTATTCAGGCCGTACTCAAAATCAAGCATGATCTTCAAGTGTCTCTAAAACCATCCGCTCACTAATAGTTGGATTATAGGTCATTAAAATGTTGCAGTTCTGGCATCTCATATTACTTGCCTGCGCCGTGCGATCGCACGCCCGCTGATTTGTTTGTATAATATCCCTCAGGCAAAGCTTCTGGCCCGCCTCTGGGTCTTTCCCTTTAACATAAGGCTGTCCTATAAAAAGGTGACCTGCCCGCGCCCCAAGCATCTCAGGACGAGGAGTCTTGATATCCAGCAGCAGCTGGCACAACACTGTATCAGCACAAACACATGCCACAAACTGGCTGACCTTTCTCTCCTCCCACTGCTATGCCAACAATGCCACGCCTCTTCCCTTCTGCCCCCACCCTCTCATCTTAACACCATACATACCATAGACAAACAGTAGCTCTTGAGGAAATAGAACAGTAGTCATGTATTTTGAGAGTGCCATTTTATGACCGGAGCAGGAGACATTAACATAAAATCTTTTTTATTTATACTCATATAAACAAAATAGTATATGCATGATACACTCTCAGAAAAAAAGGTACAAAGCTGTCCCTGGAGCGGTACCCTGAGATACAAAAGCTAAAAGGAACATCTTTGTACCTTATTTACCCCTAATCGGAAGCTAAAATTGACATCAAGTGTACATTTTAGTACCTTTTGATAGGATACCACCCTATTGACAGCTTTTTGTACCTTTTTTTCTTAGAGTGTAAGGTAAAAAAAAGCTAACAGGTACATCTTCGTACCTTATTTACCCTTAATCGGCATATACTAGTACCTTAAACTTACATATTAGTACTTTAAAAGTACATATTAGTACCTTTTGAAAGGATACTGCCCCAGTGACAGTTTTGTACCTTTTTGCTCTGAGAGTGTATTAGTGTAAAGCATATAACTCCTTAGTTGAACTTATTTATAAAATGCAAATAGCATTAAACTTATAAACAAAATATTCATGAATACAAAATGAACAAATTTTTCATTTAAAAACAGAAATGTTTGATAAAACACTCTCAGCTGTCACTTGGTGGCACTTTTTCACAAGGTACACCTTTGTTCCTTATTTACCCCTAAAGGGTGCATATAAGTACCTTAAAGGGACATATTAGTACCTAAATGGTACATATTTGTACCTTTTGAAAAGGTACGACCCCATTGACAGCTTTTGTACCTTTTTTTCTGAGAGTGAATAGAGACATTGTGGCAATGTGGGTCCACCAAATTCTGTACACTACAGTCTTACCAAGGTTATGTGTCCGATTCTAACTCGTAAGCCATGTATACATTGAATGCATTGCAAGTCTGTTAGCTTTCTCTGTTAGTTTGTACAGAATGCAAAAGGCATAAATGCAAATTTAAACCCAACACTCTAAAAGAGCAGGTGCTTCTAACAAGACAAGAGCCTTATTCATTGCTTTTTAATTTTTTCATTGCTTCTTGGTTAGTATTAGTTCAATCTAGTACTGTCAAATAATTAATCGCGATAAATCGCATCCAAAAGAAAAGTTTTTGTTTACATAATATATGAGTGTGTACTGTGTATATTTATTATGTATATATAAATAAAAACACATGCATGTATATATTTAAGAAAAATATGTTATGTTTATATACAGGTGCATCTCAATAAATTAGAATGTCGTGGAAAAGTTAATTTATTTCAGTAATTCAACTCAAATTGTGAAACTCGTGTATTAAATAAATTCAATGCACACAGACTGAAGTAGTTTAAGTCTTTGGTTCTTTTAATTGTGATGATTTTGGCTCACATTTAACAAAAACCCACCAATTCACTATCTCAACAAATTAGAATATGGTGAAATGCCAATCAGCTAATCAACTCAAAACACCTGCAAAGGTTTCCTGAGCCTTCAAAATGGTCTCTCAGTTTGGTTCACTAGGCTACACAATCATGGGGAAGACTGCTGATCTGACAGTTGTCCAGAAGACAATCATTGACACCCTTCACAAGGAGGGTAAGCCACAAACATTCATTGCCAAAGAAGCTGGCTGTTCACAGAGTGCTGTATCCAAGCACGTTAACAGAAAGTTGAGTGGAAGGAAAAAGTGTGCCCCGCACTCCCTCTCAGTTTCTTCTCCCTGCTCATTCTTAACTTTGATTTTTACTTTACATTTATGTATAAGGCTTGCAACTTCGTTGAAACAATATCTGAACTCCATAACTGCTCTACTATTCTCGATCTCTACAGATTCTCGATCTCGAACAAGCAAATCACCAAACGGCATTCTGGGTTGAGCGAGCGGCGCTGAGCGTATTGAGCGAGCGGAGCGGTCACATGCTCACATGCTCTGGTACATGTACAGTAAATGAACATACTTTCCAGAAGGCCAACAATTCACTAAAAATGTTTTTTTATTGGTCTTATGAAGTATTCTAATTTGTTGAGATAAATTAAAAATAGATTAAAAAAAAAATTAAAGAACCAAAGACAAACTACTTCAGTCTGTGTGCATTGAATTTATTTAATACAGGAGTTTCACAATTTGAGTTGAATTACTGAAATAAATGAACTTTTCCACGACATTCTAATTTATTGAGATGCACCTGTAGTTCAATCTGAAGTTGCTAAATGTAAACAGGGCCAAAAAAAAAAAAGATACATTTTCTTCATAATTAAAGCATTGATTTCTTCTAAGATAGTCATTGGGAGGCAATTCTTATACATTAATTATCGTAGTTTTGACTGCTGAAGTTAAGTAATTAAAATTAAACAGCACAATGGCAATGTTATGTCTACAGGTCTTAAGTCTTATTTTATTAAGATGAAATATTAAAAAACAATTTTTTTTGGCTTATGAGAATCTAAGAGAGATAGTTCACCCATTAATTATAATTCTGTGATTATTTACTCACCATCATGTCATTCCAAACTTGTATGACTTTTTTTCTTCTGCAGAACACAAAAATATTTCAAAAAATGTCCATACAAAATTTCCTTTTTTTGTCCATACAATGAAAGTCAAAGGGGGTCTAATGTTGTTTTGACAAAAACAGTTATTCAAAAGAGGGCCATTACTAGCTGCAAGTAATATAAGCAGACACTTAAGAAGGTGCCCCACAAATCAATGGCATTTTATATTTAAAAAAGCAATTAAGATTAGATTAAACAGGACCCCTTGTGACCAGAAAGAAAAAAAGAGCACTACAAGGAAACAGTTATAGCTAGATGTGACCCACACTCAAAGTGTTTTTCGTCATTATGAAGTGCACTTAAAGAGAATTTACTGTTACATTTACATTTACTGTTAATTTGTGGTTATTTATTGTACATTTACTGTTAATTTATTTTTTGTTAATTTATTTTTACTTTTTTGTGTTTTGTATTCGGTTTTGAATGAAATTCCTACAAGTTTCAAACTACATGAGAAAATGAAAGAATTTTAATTTTTGGATGAACTATCCCTTTAATTTACCCATATAATCCATAGCCTAACATTGTGTTAAACAATACAAACTTTCTGGACTGGAACAATCAAATAAAAGCAAAATAATTTCCCAAACCTGGAATAGTTCTTAATACTCATTTCAGATATATAATTTCTATGGTCTGCTTGAATTAATTATATACAGTGTAAGTATATACTGTAAATCCAAAATATTTAAGTTTTAACTTACAAAAGGGTATTCAGTATGAGATAGTGTAACTGATTTATTCCTGTAAAACATTTCAAAGATGATATTCAAAAGATTAAAACAAGCCATAACAAAAGGTTGGAAAAATAAAAACGAAATAAATAATAAAAAAAAATGTCTTATGGATCTTGAGAAAGTCATGTTGTCTAGCTGATTATTTTCATACAAAGGATTTTCACTTTAAATGTATGGAATTGTTTTTTTGTTTTTTTTGGCTTACACTGATTTCTTTTAAAGCCCTTACCATTATGAAAAAATGTTCAGTGCATGCAAATACGATGAAAAATAATGAATTTGCACTTACGCTGTAGGTGAGTGGGGTTTTACCTATGCTCCACCACAAAGCTCATGGTGGTGCCATCGAAGGAGGGGGGAGCGATGATCCTTGGCCCTTGCTGGGAGGTGATGCTGATGACAGGCTGCTTGCTGTTGGCCAGCCTGCTGGTTTTAACATGTTGAGCCATGGAGGTTGTTTGTGAGGACCTCCCAGATGGCATATAATAAGGGCTCTCCATGTAAGCTCCATCCTCCTGCCTTCCCATGTGCGAATGGGATTTATCCCCATCATCTGCTTCTGACTGCATAGAGAGCTGGGACTGAATAGTGCGTGCGGGGATCATCGTGGTAGGCATGTATCCCGGGTAAAACATGTAAGTATGGCCGTAAGCTCCCGGGCCAAGAGCGAGAGGGGATATTGGCAATGGGACAGGGGTCATGGGAGGCTGCTGCGGCATGGGGACGTCCACATACTGCCCGGTTTCCGGGTCAAAGAGACGCCTGGTTGATGGCTGCACCGGAGTGTCCACCAAGTAGTAGTTTCCCGTGGTGGGATCCAGCAGCATCTTTCTTAGGGTTGCCTGGAAGTGATCTGTCGGGATGGGGGAGGGTTGAACTGTAGGGGAGAAGCAAATGACTTGTGGCTGAGCAGCTTGCATTGGGACAGACAGGGGTGTGTGGTAAATAGCGGCGGTAGGGGTATCTGGGGACCGTGTCTCCATCACAAAAGATGAACGTTTTGGCGACGGATGGCCTCTGGTGTCACTGTGAACCAGGTAAGAAGGCGGACTGGTCGTTTGGGTTTTACCTCCTCCAATTGGGATTGTATAAACAGCTGTTTTGCCCAATCCAGACGTGGTTGGCTTTGCTTGAGGCTTCACTGGTATGGTTAGGTAGTTCTCTGAATCTGCTGTGGAAGTGAACTGCAGCGTGGCAAACTCAGTCTCACTGCCATTCGGCCGCTCCCTCTCTTCTAGTACACGCTTTGGCTGCGATATCTTCAGGGAAACGGGTATTTTCGGAGATTTAGGTGCAACACCTTTGGAGCTCAGAGTTGCTGGTGATTCAACATGCGTTTGCAGTGCCTTTGTAGCTAATGGCTTCTGGCATATGTTCTTATATGGCGTTCCTGTGAGCTGCATGAGCGGTTTAGGGCCGTTTCGCTCTTCCCGGGCGATCGGAGTGGTTGATGACTTGTGATCTTTTTTAGGTGGCATCTCGTTCAGGTTTGAGTTTGAATCTCGTTTTAGCAATCTATCAGCTGGAGTGGAGCTAGAATTGCTTTCCTGTTCGTCCACGCTGTGTTCCTCGCTGGTGATGAGCGAGAGCACGTGGCTGTCCTTTATCGGCCGTGGTTCTGTTTTTCTCTTCCACTCGTTCTTGTCAAAAACATACAGCTGCTCCATCGTTTTGACAGCAGCTTGCAATTTTTCCAAAGCGGCCTGGTTGGCCATTTTAGGTTCGCTTTTCTTCTCGGCTGTGTCGCTCGATTTATCTTGTTTTCGTGTGCTTGTTTCAATTCTCACTCCTGCTGGCACTTCTTGCTTTGGCAGCCTGTTAGCTACAGCAACGTGAGGGGAGGACCTGTCGGTCTCAACTATATCCTCTGGAAATTGTCTCTTGGGGGGGTCTATTAAATTTCCGGATTGCTTCACATTGCTATTTGTATTCACAGACTGGCATTTAATCACTATGGGTGAAAGAGAGGCTGAGTTCAGAGAAGGACTCTGCTTTAATGTCTTGTGCTCTCCATCACAAGTCGAGTGGCTAGATTTGTTGTCGTTATCTAAAGACACAAAGTGATATGAGCTCTTAACCAGTTTACGCACGTCTCTAACCTGGTGAATGGGGGTCTGTAGCTTGCCCTTGTTATCTCTAATGTCTCTGACTATAAAGTGAGGCACTTTGTCAGACGACTCACCCTTGAAAGCCGCGGCGAGCGCTTGGCACCTGTTGTCCTCAGCTGTCTTGCAGCCTAAATTGGGAGTCAGTAGCTTCGCGATATTGAACGGGTCGCTTTTGTTGTCCCGAACGCTCCGCAAACTTATTTTGATTTCTGGCGACTTCGCTGTCACAGCGCTGCGCGTCGCGTCGGACACATGGAGCGTATTTGAACGCCACTTCAAAGCTCCGCTCTCTGCTTGATCGCGCGTGGAGTAATTCACATTCGGCGGCGGTTTCCTGAGGTCCCGGTCCGCGGACGGACGCTGTATGCTTGGCACAAACAAATGTGACATTTTGGTGTGCTTGCCGCTCGCCGAATCGACGCTGAAGCTGGTTTCCCCCGGACACTCGCGGAGCGGTTTCTCCTCAGGAGTTTTGTCGTTTTTATGTTCCTTTTGAAACTCTAGCTCGCCGTCCCTCCACGATCTGAACGCGCTATTTTGGCTTCGAAGCAGCGTGCTTGTGGATACTTCGAATGCTCCTTTTTTAGTATCATTCGCCGACTCTAAATTCCTTTCTGATGCACTCGTCAAAGGCCCTTCTTTGCGCCCGTCCTCTTTGGCATCGCTTGAATTACCGTCTACTATGTCGCCCAGATCGTCCACGCAGACGATCGTGAACTCGGAGTCGGCTTCTGAGAATTTCGAGCTTTGCCTTTGCAGCCCTTTGTAATTTTTCTTGGCCGCTTTCTCTCTGTGCGCTTCGTGCGTCCCGAAGCACGGAGAGGGCGCGTGGTGCGCCTCGCATATCTCGCCCCTCTCCATTTTGCGCTCCTGCTCGAACTGCATTTTTTTAGAAATGACATTTTTGAGGAGACTCGATGCGAATATGGCTTTCTTGTGTGTGTCTTCCATGGTTTCCTCTGCATTGCAGGGTCGCTTGCTGGCCTCACTCCCCTGAGCGCTTGGCAAGGTGTTTGTAACTTCATCTGTGGAACGTGATCCTCCAGTGCTTTCGTTTACAGGCTGCCCGGATTTGGCATTGCATCGAAAATTGAGCGTTTCGGTCAGCCTTATGAGGCCACTTTGCCCCTGTGAAAACTTCCCCATGAGCTCAGTCTTTTTTGTGGTAGACGGTGCGTTTTTGCGGCTCACCAAATTGCCGTTCAGTGCAAATATCTCGACGGGGGGCGCTCGCATGCTGGTCAAAGTCAAGCCCGTTATCGCCTTACCGTCCCTCTTTTTGGCGAAATGGAAATTGGATGTGGAGCCTTTATGTGCTACTAAGTTTTGATCCCTCGCCTTGCCATACTTTAGGTCAACAAACGTCGACCACCTGTTGATTCCCAGCCCATGCTCTGAAGCAGAAGACTCACTAGAAGTACTAAAGTTTATGGCATCAAAATATGGGTACGCCAAACTTTTGAATGCCCTGGCTGTGAGATTGCGCACTTCCTTATCGGCGTCGTCCAGCTCGCTCACCGCGCTGGACGCACCGCTGGAATACTCGTTTACATCTTTGCGTTTCAGTCTGCTGCCAAAGTGCAAGCGCCCCGGCACAGCAATGAAACGCTTTGCGTTATCACACACTTTGTCGCCCCTTGCATTCACTCCTCTCAAAACATAGCGGCTTATACCTTTTGCTTGTTCTTGGATGTTGCTTGGCTCATTCACAGCGCGGGAAGTGGCTTTGATTGACAGGTGAATCTGCCCAGCTGCTTTTTGCTTTTTTGACAGGCCCCCGTCTGAGCTGGCACATTTGTCCGCGTCACAGAGATTGCTTTCAGGCTTACTGCTGACCACTGCTTCGCTCGTATTCGCCTGGTTGCTTTCCATACTCTCCTCTTTTGCACCTATCGTTTCATCACTGTCAAAAGACGCATAATCGACAAACGAGTAGACCTGGAGATCGTCCTCGGTATCCCAGCTGGATCCCGTATCAAAGTCGTAATCCGTATCGTGGTCCAACTCCAAAAGCTGGATTTCGTGGGTTGTGATATAGTGCGATTCATCTTCACGGATTTCAGGCGTGCCGTGATCCGAAAGCACCACAGTGACCTCATCATCCGATTCACTTTTGCTGCTCATATAAACATCATTGTATTGTTCATGGTTATTGCTTCCTGGGCTCTGCGTCTCCAAATGTGGGGATTTGGGCGTTTTCTCGGTACAGTCCGTGTCGTTTTCATCGGCTTGAGGTATTTGCGAAGCTGCTGTTTCCAAAGAGCTCGACTTTTCCACGCATTCCTCCGGTGTGCATTTATGTTCAGTAGATTCATTTACTTTTTCAGTGCAAGGTTTGTGCTCTCCTTGTGAATCGCTTATGCCACTAATGCTTTTAATAATTGCCAATTGACCCGAGTCTCCAAATGTCACTTTCACTGTTTTTGTATCATCCAATTTTAGTTCCAGCAGGTCGTTGAGATCCACATAATTTGACTCTTCTTGTGCGGCTATCAGGCGCATGTCCCGTTTGGAAAGAAAGTTTTTAAACGAATGGGTGTCTTCTCGGTAAATGAGTGTTTTCTCCGAAGCTGCCATTTGATTTGTTGGTGATAAAGCCGTGGTTGTACAATCTGAAGTCTTTTAGGAGAGACACCAGTCCCCAGGAATCCCCGCTGCACTGCCTGTTGTCCAATCCTAGTGAAGTTGTGGCTCTGCTCTGCCTTCCTCACCCGAGACCGTCATTTTACACGCGCGCCATCCGTTCGCGCGACCTCGTTTCAGTGAGGCAAACCACACTACTGTCACCCTACTGTACGTTCTCGTAGAATATGCCATGAATATTCCCGTAACGATGCAATGCAAGGCGTATATCTGAAGACAAACGGAGCCCGAGGTCCATCACACAGCCTGTTGTGTTGCGCGCTGTCACTTAAAATGCATATGACTGCAAATTTAGAGCAGATGACGAAATGCGTAAAACGGCTATTTTAGAAGATGGATGTTATGTTCAGCGTGTTTTGTTACATACAGCAGACAAGGCTGACTCCCCCGACACAACATTTGTGCTAAAAATGAATCCTCCTTAAGCTTCTTGCTCAACAATGTGCGCGTTTGACGTGTCACCGCCTTAACCCAACAAAAGAAATATGTCACAGCCATATAATCGCTCTCAGTCATGTGATGGAAATGTTGACGCTCTAAATGTAGTTACAGCATGACGAATATGAGAGGGATTCACAGTCAGAAATGAGGCCTTGATAAATACAGTTGATCATAGTGCTTTGCCAAAGAAGATGGTGAAGATGATTTGCGTAATGAAGTGTTGCGTAGTTTAGTTATAGTCACCTATGACTTCTTATAAAACAATTTATTTTCCCTGCCAATATTCTGGAAGGTTTCGTTTTCATGCATAAAAACATAGTTTTGGAGCCAGCTCAGCACCACAGCGCTGGACAGCTCCTTTGAAGTAAACAATAGGCCTATGCCATTTGATCATATCTCCAGCAGTATATGCACTCAAAAAATGAATTTGTTCTAAAATGTGTTTATCATATTTTATTTAGATTTTTCACAATTAAACTAAACAATAATGTGCTTTAATTTGTATTCTCTCCGTTTGAAGGAACTTTTGTCGATTTAAAAAATGAACCAGAAAAAACGTTTCTCATTTGCCTATGGTGTTTGGGGGAGTGGTCTAATATGAATATTTAATTAAGTAGACCTGCGCAAAGAATGCAGATTTATATGTACTGTAAATAGATGTTGTTGTTATAGGGGTTAGAAGCTAAAAGTATTTACAGACACACAGGGTTTAAATTGGGCCGGGGCCATCCGGGGTTTGAGCCCCGGCACATTGACTCCGGGGCTCGACATTAAAGGGGTCATATGATGCTGCTAAAAAGAACAGTATTTTGTGTATTTGGTGTAATGAAATGTGTTTATGCGGTTTAAGGTTAAAAAAACACATTATTTTCCACATACTGTACATTAATGTTTCTCAATAGTTCAATAAACAGTTCAATAAGCAAGTACAATAATATTAGGCCACTTACATTTTAGGCAGAAACACAGCGCATCTCACGGCAAACAGTCGATTCATTGCTGATTGATTCCGTGTTTTGAACGAATCGGTTGAGTCAAAGTTTCATTAGCCCATGCATAAACATCTGATGAATCAGCCATTTGAACGAATCGTTTGAATGAACGACTCAATGACTCACTCATTAAAAGCTCACTACTCACTACAATTAATTTTAAATATATAAATAGATTTGATACTAAATCCTTTGCGTTTCACATCAAAACAAATGATTTTTAATATATATCCTATATATCTTCTCCAAATGTATGTTTACTAGGGGTGGGGGGAAAAATCGATACAGCATAGTATCGCGATATTTTCCGCGGCAATACTGTATCGATACACGGACGCCAAGTATCGATATTTTATTATACTATTTGGTAGAATAATAAAATCAATTTCTTTACAATCCACTAGAACGAAAATATACAAAAGGGTCTGGCTGCAGCCTTGCACTTGCACTCTCAGACTTGCATTCTCAGACTTGCACTCTCAGACACTTGCACTTCCGCTAGCGACGTCACTTGCAGTCTTTATTTTTTTATTTTGTTCTATTTATTTATTCTTTTTGTTTGAATCTCTCAACATTTTACAACTGTAGCCAGGTGGTGAAGACAAGACAAAAAAAACTAAATTACGAAATCACTTGCACTTTCCGCTACCTGCGATGTCACTTGCAATCGACACAAATCGTGCGTGTTGCCAATGGAGACAAGATGCTGTGGTCGTGATTAAATGATTAAAAATAATTTAGTACTATAACATACAGGGTCCTGCAAGAAAAACTTGTCTGAGAGTGCAAGTCTGAGAGTGCAAGTGCAAGGCTGCAGCCAGACCCTTCTCCAAAATATAGGCTACATATAATAATTATAATAATATATATTGCGCGCCGCATTGCGCCCCGCCCGGCAGTGTTCAGCGCGCATGTTTCACTCTCCTCGTCACTGCGTGGTTTTACGCTCCGCTCAATATTCCGATCTATGAATGTACGTTCCGCTCATGTACCGCTCGTGCTCACCGGGAAAGCAAAGTCCGCTCAAATAACGCGCTGACAGGAAATTTCTATGCAGTATAGGCCTGCTTGTTCCGGTTTGCAGTAGGGCTACTGTGCTGTAACATGGTGTAGGCTAGTTCAGCTGCACTTTACAATAAGGTTCCATTAGTTATTGTTAGTTAATGTATTAACTATCATGAAGGAACAATGAACAATACATTTATTACAGTATTTATTAATCTTTCGTAATGTTAGTTAATGAGAATACAGTTGTTCACTGTTAGCTCATGTTAATTCAGAGTGCATTAACTGTTAACAAGCACAACTGTTGATTTTAATAATGCATTAGTAAATGTTGAAACTGACATTCACTAAGATTAATAAATGCTTCAGAAGTATTTTTCATTGTTAGTCCATGTTAACTAATGTAAACAAACAACCTTATTGTAAAGCGTTACCAGGTTACTAATCAAACTGTGATTCTTTCTTCACTGAAAATAATAAATAATCATTACAAAGCATTTTCGGTTTAGGTTTTCAGCCCAGAATTTTCATTTCGGTGCATCCCTAGATGTAAGACTACATGTTTTATTTAATTTAATTTAAATTGAACAGTAATTTACTTTCAAATGCCCCAACTGCTGAAGGGTCTGCACAACTTTTTAGTACAATTTCAAGTTGTAGTGTTCAAAATACCTGTAGTAGCACAGCAGTGCATACCTGTTTACATTTAATTAAGGTGGACTAGACTAGACTGTAATACAAATAGTTGAGTTTGCCAGGTGCATACAACATTTATGACAGGTTTTCATGAAAGTGTTGGTCAGTTTGTCTGCTTGACAATCCCATTTTGCACTGCAACAATAAAACTGAAGCGAGATAAACAAACTGAGAAATGTTTCTTTTTAGTTAAAACAGATGTTGTCAACGTTTTCCTTTGGGGACATAATTTGATAAAGGTAAAGGTAATAAATTGCAATATATCGCAGAATATCGCAATATATTTAAAATCGCAACAATATTGTATCGTGACACAAGTATCGTGATAATATCGTATCGTGAGGCCTCTGGTGATTCCCACCCCTAATGTTTACCTGCTTTTCCATTCTAACTGTTTGGCCAATTAGTGTAAAGATTGTTTGCTTTGTTTATACAGCACATACAGTAGAACAAGGCCTGCTGGAGACCTGAAAAGACTGGCAAATGTTTCAGACTGGTATATCATGTTACATTCCTTCAGCAACTGTAGGCTGAATGAGAAGACCACCATACGACTGACTGAGCCTGAGATCTGACCTAGTTTGTAGTACCAAAGACCCTTCTTTACCAACTCAACACCATCTGCCAAGATGGGATAGCTTCTAGTATGGTGCTATGAAGGACTATTTGAGTGATTGTTATTTTATATTTCATACATTCTATCTATACTGTTGTGTTTTTTAGGAATAAACACACACACATACAAACGCACACATGCATATACCGTGCGGCCACAAACAGGGTAATTTTAGTGCGCTATTAAAATGGCTCCTGTGTGCTCAAGCATGTTCAGATACGGTTACATTCAGTGGCCGTATTAATCCAGTGGCCGTTAAATCATGTCATCTATTAATCATCAAATGGCAGTTCACACAGTTGAGAGCTGATTAGTTAGACACACCCGAATACAGCTTACATTTTCAGCCTATTTTTCTTGATTCATTTAAGTGTGCTGTAGGTTTTCATCATTGGATTGCAATGTCTTAATCTAATGTCTAATGGACTCGTCAGTACTCTCGCTTCCTGTGATTCTGTTAACATACTGTACAATATAAGGACGTCTTTTAAAACTTTCACCCCTTAACAGAGGTAAGACGTCTTGTTTATGCCAAGTCAGTTCACAGCAGCCGTGTTAAGGGTTTATCAGGTGGTGTGAGCAGAGTTCAGTACCCTGTGATCTTAGAGTATCTCACTGATAACTCTGACACTCAGAGTGTTTGACCATCTGTACGCAGTCGTTCATCACTCACTGCAGCGCTGATCAGAGCCAGGCAGGGGCTTTCCAGCTTGTTCTGCAAATTGATGTAAATGATAGTGAGAATGAGTGTTTAAGGTAAGTTAAGGCCTCTCTGTGGGTCAGTGCAACTTACATGAATTTTCATTAGCTCTTCTTGCAGCCCTTGCAAGAAAGTTTGGTAACACTTTATTTTAAGGTGTCCTTGTTACCCATGTTGCATGTACGTACTATTATAATAACAATTAATTATGCATATTTACATGCAAGTAACCCCAAGCCAAACCCTAACCATATGTAGTTAATTAATATTACTCAGTACTTAAAGGTATTACACTGTAACAAGGACACCTGAAAATAAAGTGTAACTGAAAGTTTAATATAAATTTATTTCATAAAAATGCATTATCGGATAACTTAAAAATGTATTTCAGGTGGTAACAACAAACATTTTATATCAGTCTAAACACACTGAGTATTATTAATGTTTATTAGACTATTTTATATATTTAACATTAAATCAGCCTAAATACAATGAGTTTTATTCATGTTATTTATGTTGTAATATTTTATGTATTTAATAAAATAAATATTAGATGTATGGCCCTCTGAATGGCTTTTTGGCTGAATTTTAAGTGAGTGACTTTTTTAAAGATTCAATTATTTTGCAAACAAACTTTTCCTTAGAAAATAAAATATACTACATGAAGTTATAACAATGATATTTATAGTATTTCATAGTAGTTGAGATAGTATCATAACTGGATTAAGTCAAATATGTATTCATTCATTAATCCATCCATCCATTAATTCGTTAATGATAATTAATTAATTTAAATTCAGCCTGACTAGATTGAGTTACATTAATAAAATATAAAAATATTA